CAGGTTGGATGAACCTTGAGCAACCTGCTCTGGTGGGAGGTGTCCCTGCCCAGGGCAGGGGATTGGGGCTGGATGATCTCTAAGCTCCATTCCAACCCCTTCACACACTATCTATGGAACATACTATGAAACTTCAATATAGAGTGCTCTGGCATCCTCCTCCCACCTTCAGCTTCCCCAGCCCTCCTCCAAGCCCTCTTCTTTTAACCTCCTTTCCCAAAAGCAAACAGGAATTGGAAGAGACAGCGAATGTTCCATCAGTGCAGAACAATCCATTGCAGGATGCTTTTAGGGCCCTTCCCACTGCTGTAAGCAAGCACAGAACACCAGCACTGAGCACAGGCACAGCTCACCCTGCTCGTGCAGCACACCTGGGCAGACACCAGCAGGTACAGCCACTCGGCCTGGAAACACAACAGCCCCAGCTTTGACCTTTCCTGCCCATAACAAGAAGGGTTGAAAACCACTGCTTTAAAGTTTCATTTAAGAACTGGTCAGAACCCTTAGCACAGACAAGCGAGAGGTGAACTCAGGGTTGACTGATCCCCTGCAGTATCGTTCTCCACCCCATGCTCCAACACAGGATCCATTTTATTTGTTATTCCCATCAGAGGAACATTCAGCCTGTTTTCCTAAAGCTCCAGGCATGGAAATGCCATACAACTTCCCTGGAGGACTTACTGATATGTTTAGTTTTTCCTACTACAGAAACTAATCACCCAGAGAACAAAGTTACAAATGCCACAAGTCTCTCATGTGAAGTCTTTGTGCTGGAAAAATTTTTCAAGTAAGGATACTGCAAGAATCTACACTGAATAGCAGAGAAATCTCAAATCAAACATGAATCTGTTCCACCAAGTTGGATCGGCACTAGTGCATCTAGTTTTGATGGAGGCCACCAACAGCCACAGCAATACTGACTGACTGGTTTCAGCTTTGGCACTGCCCTACAGCTGAGGAGTAATGAAGAGGGGAGAAGAGAACAAATAGCTTCCCCAAAGGGTTCCATTCTTTGGCTGTTGTCATCTAAACAGAATTACTTGATTGCAGGACTAACCATGGTAAGCTGCTAGGTATCCAGCAAAAATAGGAGACATGCAGATAGGTGACAAAAGGACCAAAGCAGTCAAAAAACAATCTGGAGGTGGGGCAAAAGTGGATAAAAAGAGAGCAAACCCAGAGAATACCCAGGAACAGATACCTGCTGTTCTGTTACAGACAGACAAAATAAAACTTAAAGCAAGCCTGTGGTAAGTAGTAACAGCCAAAGGCAACACAGAGTATTGTTGCTATTTCAGCACTGATAAGCAGACCTATAACTTGCAGTGAATAAATATGAGTATCAACAAAATATACACTTGAATGCTTTAGTCTGATAGAAGTGTGTATAGATTAAGAACTAAAAGTTGATCAACAGCATGTTATGGTTCAGCACCATTTAGAAAATGGTTCTTTTTGCTCTTCATTTCAGCTTCAGCTCTAGCATTACACCTTCCAGGTACTGTATTTTAGGACAGCCAGAATTTAGAGTAGGCATATTGCACATTAACATCAGTCCTTCTCTCACCTCGTTCCCTGGGGAGGAAGAGCATCATTCTCTACGACTCTCAGCCCAGTAACATGCCATTTCTGACACAGATCCTGCCTTTTATTTACCTTATAGAAATAGAAGGGGCTGAGGTCGAGCACTTCGATGATCCAGGGGAAGGTGCGTGGGGAGCTGTAAGCGAAGAGCACAATCTCCAAGCAGCATGCCATGAGTGAGCAGTGGAAGAGATCCTGTTCCAGGAGAGCCTGAAGAGACCACACAAAACACAAACGGTCTGAGGTCAGGGAAACACAATCTGGAATTTTGTGCAAGTAATACTACACAGTTTGTTGCAGGAAAGAAGCTGCTTTTTTCTACCATCTACAATTTCTTTTCCACAGGGAACTTTGGAAGACTAGAAGGAGAATAACAGCACCAAACCCATCACATTTTGCAATGGAGGAACGAACTGGCCTCCTCCCTGTGCACCACGAAACAGAGCAAATGCAGTGCTGTACAGCCATATTGACACTGTTCATTGTATGAAGAAGAGAATGTAAGCTGTGTGTCCATAAAGTTGTGATTCTAGAAGGCAACAGAAATCCAGATGGTTAGCAATGCCAGTCACAAGTTTACTTACAGTCAGGTCCTTCCCATGCAGTCTCCGTGTCTCTTGCACCATTATGGTCTCCAAGATTTTATAGTACAAGATCTCTGCCAGCTTTAATCTGTTTACAGCAAAATCTGAAATTGAAAACCAACAGAGATGAAGTCCAATGCCACTGGCACAAATGGTCTTAAGACTAACCTTATCAGGACTTGCCCTTACCCCAGAAAAGTGTGATTGTCTGTATGTACAGACTTTGCAAACCAAAGAAGCATGTTCAGAAATCCACTAGTCCCAAGCACAGCATGAAACTCTAGAAATGTTTTAAAGGATTATTTAATATTTCTCATGACACAATTTTGAAATGTCGCAACAATCATTTTCCTATTTGTATTCAGTTTCCTTTAACTTTAAAGGCCAAGAAGAATGCAAGTTTATACTTGTTATAAGCTGCTTTTCTGTGTTCTCTTGGCTATCCCAGTTTGAACTGCAGCCTTGGGCTTACTCTGTCATCAATTTTTTATTCTTTTCAGTGTTCTGTTTGACAGCAGCTTTTCTGCTTGAATATCTCCTGGGATAAAAACAGCTCCACTGCATTAAGTACTCAGACAACAGTATATGCACGTATATATAGACACATAATGTAAGTATGTTGCCCTGGTTCAGTATTTTAAAGCACCTCATGCCTTTGACTCCATACCTATGTGAGATCCAGGCTGCTCATCTGTTGACTGAGTGTAGCTGCAACAGAAGGTCTCACCGATTTCCTTCACTCTGCTCATGATGCTCTCCATGGGGCTGCGGGCACAGGACCTGCAGCAGAAGGCAAAGAGAAAGCCTTGTTTGTATCAATTCCTACCCAGCTTCAAAATAAACAAACTCAAATCCAACACCAAAATAATATACCAGCCAAATAAAAGGAGAAGCAAATTACACTGAGCTTCCTCAGGAGTTGTGTTACACAGACAGGAAACACAAACATCATGTCCTTTTCCCTTGCCTCACAGAGTTAGAGAGGCTATGCAGACCTTGGAACAAAAGCAGAAGAAAGCAAGAGCTACAGCTGCACACTCAGGAGGAAAATCTATCTGCTAGGAGCAAGGCAGTAGTAAGGATGCTACAACAGGCAACCAACCAGCAAAGGCAGCCAGGAGAGCACACAAGCTGGGCCCAGTTTGAGGGACACAGGAAAGCTCACAGAGTGAATTGCCAACACCTTCCCATTTCCCAGCAAGGCAGAAAAGAACTGATGCACTCCACACAGTCACTGTCATACAAAGGGGCTCCAGGATCTCTGGCTGGAGATGCTCCTTCTGAATGCCTCCAGATGCTCCAACAGCTGTTTTAGAGGACAATAGCTTGTGACTGGTGTCCAGTTAAGACACCAAACTACTCTGAGAAGTTAGAACTGAAATGAACTAATATTTCATTGAACAAACTTCCAATTAACTTCAAAGCTATTCCTGTGGAATTTTAATTAGAAAAATACTGAAAAGCACAGAATATTGCACAGCCCAAACCACAGCTCCTCCCGTTTCTCCCAAGCACACAGTGCATATCTCACTGCTTGCTGAGCTCATATCCAAGATGAATTCAGTACTAATCACAACTCCTGTCAGAGGTTCCCTCAATTCTTTTTCCCATTTCAGTACTTACCTCTCTCTTGACAGACTGAATTATTACTTGGAACAAACACATTTTTCATTAGAGACTGCAGACACATTACTGTCTTAATTGTGCAATATAAATAATACCAATCCTTAAAAAAACCCAATCAAAACAATTGCATCCTGCTGAGCAGTTCTCCTACTAGGAAAACTTTCAAAATACACATAACTCCAAAGATTGAGAACTATGAGTAATATTTATCACCTGTTTATGAAGGTTGCTTCAAAGAAACATGACTTCTGCATTTCAGATACTAAGTGTTAATACTAAATGTCCATTGTGAGGAATGAAAACACATCTAGAGACCTTGCAGCATAACACAGCAAGGCCTTACCTTGCACAGATGTCAGGCAAACACCCAGCATCTGTACAGGTATTTACTGTCCAATTACTGCTCGTTAGGGGCTAGGCTCAGGGAGGAAACCAGCAAGCTGAGGTGTGCTCATGGAATGGCCACTGGGACAATGGGAGAAGTGGCAAACAGAGCTACTGCTCTACAGGAGATCAGCACTGACAGCAATCAGGGTCACTGTGAAGCTTATGCTCTAGAGTTAGATTTAGGTATCCTGAAGCAGCACAAAGGAGAAATGAGGAGCCTGTAGGCTGCTCTTAGTCTTTACCCAGGGAGGCTGTGGCTGCCCCAGTCCTGGCAGTGTTCACAGCCAGGTTGGCTAAAGCCTTGAGCAACCTGCTCTGGTGGGAGGTGTTCCTGCCCAGGGCAGGGGTTGGGACTAGATGATCTCTAAGCTCCATTCCAACCCCTAAAATTCTATGATTCTGTGATTATCTTCCCAGGCAAAGGCTAAGTTTATAGCTTGTTAACTTGAAGACTTCCTCCTCCCTCAAAAACCTCTGCCCACATAGTTACCCCATCTTTGAACTGAGCCATACTTAAAATGTAAACAAATAAACAAAAAAGGCATTTGGCTTTCAAACAGACAAACATAAATTAACATCAGCAAAAGCTGCAGCTACATTAATACAGTGGTGATGACAAGTCAGATGGGAGTAAGGGGGTTGTTCAGCCATCCTTCTCCAAAGGAGACCATCAAGAAAACAGAAGATCTTTCAACAAGAAATAACACAGGCCAAAATACTCTGCACCAAACAAAACGAGCCCAAAGCTGAGTCGCTGTGCATATGAGAGCAGCTGAAGTGGACATACTCACTCAAAGATAGCTGTAAGCTGCTCACTCGGTGCATTTTTTAGCCCAGCCACCATGTTCTGCAACCGGCTCACGCTCTGCGTGGCTGAAGCCACAGGAGTGATCACAGCTTCCTTCTCCCGCAGGTATCTCCTGCCAGTCAGTGGAGTTGAAGGTGCAAATGACCTTTTCTGTCAGACAAGACAAAAAGATAAATAAAAATCAGCCAACAAACCTGTTCCAATGACCTTTCAAATGAGCATCTCCTGCAAAATCCTCCAAAGATTCGAATGACACCACTAGTACACAATGTGAAGGCTTCAGCAAACTTGTGAGCTCAGAACTGACTGATAAGGAGCCAAACTTTTTGCAGGACTCCATAAATACAAAATACAACAAATCTTCAGGCAGACAAAAATGAACTGAAAGGGAAAGAAAAAAAGGAAAAAAGGGATGAAAGGAGAGAAGAAAGGAGAGAGGGTAGAAGGCAGAGAGGGAGGAAGGAAGGGAAGAAAGAAAAAGAAAGAAAGGAAAGGAGGGAAAAAGGGAGGGAGGGAGGACAGATTTTAAATATTAAAGCCTGTAAATTTTTAAGCTCATTTGAAAATTGAAAAATACAGGGCAAGGAAGAAGAAGCACACGCTTCCATTCTCAGTCCCTGACTGCATTAGCTCTGTGACACAAGGAATGGATGGCAGAGCTGCCCAGGAGAGGTTCACAGCAAAACATTCCTTGGGAAATGCTGTCCAGGTGATCTAGAGCCTCCCTTTATCCAAAGGGTGATGCAGCACTGAACAGATGGAGCTGTGTGCATTGTGTTCACCTATTTGTATCCTGCTATCTGGAAGTGACACAATAAAGCATTTGGGTTCAATTATCAGAACTGATATTCTTGAGATATAAGGTAAATAATGCAGCCAGGTTGAGCCAGCAGTCAGCATGCACAAATAGCAACATTATCATACCAAAGAACTGAAGCTCAGAATTGATAAGCCCATTCCAAACACACCTTTAACTTCCCTGAATATGAAGTACACTTATATCTGGAAGAAAAAGCTAAGCCACAGGATTCATTTACAGCAGCACTAGCATCTTAAAAGAATCAGAATTCTTATTCCAATTGACATGTAAATCAAACAGCACATTGTTCTCTTACACAGCCAGCACAATTTTTCCCCTTACCCAAAAGTAATAAAGCAATTGTTTCCCCACATGCCAACTTTATTTTACATTTTTAAAGATGGGGAAATGTTAGCTCTGTTTATAGGCTACTTTGTGTAACAGAGACTGTGGTGAGGTTTATGCCCTGCATGTTATTTTCTGTAGAAGAGTAGAAAAGATGACTTTTCCTGTCCTGCAAAAGGAAACACTGGGAAAACAAATGAATGATTGCACTGCAAAGGTTTCGTGGCTTGACTATGGGGTATAAATGCAGCTTGAACAAAACTAACACCTATATATTAGGTATTAACTACTTACTGATTTTTTTTTTGGACAAACCCAGACTATGCACACAGAAGCGCTCTCACCCTGTTTAAGGAACAGCTATTAATTCCAGAGGACAGAAGACATCACCATTTCTCCTTAGCAAGCCAGCACTGAACGCTGTAATGGCATTCACCATCCTACTCTCAGGAAGAAGCTCAAGAAATTCCAAGTCAGCTCCATGATTCAAGTAGTGTCTAAGGATGGGAAAACCTGAAGGAGTACTTCAAGTGAGCTTGATGTGTTAAATAAATCACCTTTTCAAAATGCTGCTGCAGATGACACTCCACATGAGCTCTTGCTGCTGTTTTCTCCACTGGCACATCCACAGGGAATTTCCGAGGAGTGCCAATTTCTTCCTCAGCATCAGCTCCCAGGAAAACTCTCTCATCAAAGTCACCCATGGTCAGAACATACTCTTCATACTCTTTATTCAGTGCTTTGCTGAAAGAGAAGCTCAGGTGTGATCCCAAAGGTTTCACTACTGAGGAAACAAAGCAGGTGCCCGTGGAGCACAGGTCCAAACCCAACCCTCACGTGGCTGTTCTGTGCTCGGGGCAGCACTGCTGCTTCCACCTCCCCAGGCAGCCTGCCTGCAGACTGGAAACCTCCCCTGCTCCCTCCAGGACCCTCTGCAGGGACCACTCTTCCTCTCAGCTGACCACCAACGTTTGGCTCTCAGCAAGAAGAGGAAAAAACCAACTTTGCTTCCACCCCAGTTGTGAATAAGCCAGTCTGGAAGTGCTCGGCCGATCCAAGGTTAAATGTCTGTATGCACAGAACATACCAATGGGAGCTGCACCAAACTGGCTCTGTTGGACCTCTAGTTTTGTCACTCCATAGCCTGGAATTTTCCAGTTGGTGCAGAGGAAGGGAAAGGGAAGAGCTAGCTGCCTGGATTCCACTGCTGAAGTCACCACTGACACATGAGACCAAACAAATATTTCACTTTCTTTATTCCAGCTAATCCAGGTGGAAAACAGGAACGTTTCACCTCACCAAGGTTGCAAAGCTTTAAACTTATGCTTGGGAAGCAGAACAAAACTTCTGGATAAAAATCACGACCGGCTCATAGCAACAAGCCCTGCCTGCAGGTTTGCCATGGGCCAGGAATGCTGTTCCTGCTGCCACTGGAGCACGTGGACAATGGAACACAGCAATGTACTCAGGACACAAGCAACAACCTGATCCCATAGGAAACCTGATTCTATCACAGGTTCACCTTTCCCAAGGCTTTTAGGGGAAAGTAAAGCCCTCTGAAAAGTTTGGACAAGAACAGCCCAGAGAGGCTTCCATGCTCCCTGTAGATGTCAGGCTGCTTGCAAAAGAACAGGGACTACTGTATCACTCCACATGACAGGATTATTAAAGTAATACTCTCAATTTTTAAGCAGAAATACTAAGAGAAGTTAATCGGGTCACAGAAACACAGGTTTACACCTAAACTGAACTGCTATCTAAATTGTAAAACAACCGAGTCTTTGCTCAAAATTCCCAGAGCAAACCAACAAGCTAACAGCTCACCCAGTGAAAATCAACTACTAGGTATTTTTACAAAAGGCAAAAAACCCTTTAAGGAATCCAGAACAAAGCAGCTGCTGTTCACATTGTGCACTTAAATTAGCTTTCAGAAGTGAATTGAAAAAAGTTTCTGAAACAACTACATTTTGCTCCCACAGAAACACTCCATCTCTTTTTTGTGGTTTTGCAAGTGTTGCTTCTATTTCTTTTGAGTCCTTCTGCTGCATCCACAGATTTACACACTCAATTAGAGAATGATAAATTAATTTAAAGACTTCCCTACTTGGGCATAAGATTTCAGGTGTGTATAGAAATACATCCATGAACTTCAGAGCGAAGGTTCTGATGTGCATTAGATTAGCCAAAGGTTACAGCGGTCAGAAAATCAGAGCAAGCATCAAAGAACCTGACATTGAGGAAGAACCTCTGCAGCTCAACCCTGGCATACCTTGGATCCAGAAAGTTTTTCAGCCAGAGAGCAGCTTTGATGGTCAAATAATCAAAACCCATTAGATATGGTAAGATAAAGGAACAAGAAACCTGAGGTTTCGCAGACAAAGGTCTGTGTTTTAGACACTAAACCAAGCCATAAGATTAAGAACCAAAGCTGTACCTTACCTGTTTTCTGCAAAGTTGCAGAGATCCAACAGACAATCTCCTTTCAATATCTAAGAATAAAAAGCAGAGATAGCTCACATAATAAAATCAAAACTCTCCTAAGTGTAAGGGCATGATGGTTTTAGTCAAAAGGAAATAGGTGCATAACTGGACGTGCTTTGCCTGGGCCAAAGGGCAACAATGCCATTAGCAAGACATTGCCATTAGCAAGACAGAGGAGGACAAAGCCCCACTGGACCCAAGTCCCAGATAAACTCACTCTTCAGACACAGTCCCATGATGTAACTCCTGTTCCCTGCCGAGCTAGGGACTGACCTGACCAACAACTACACAGAAACTTCCACAGAGCTTGGAAAACATTTTCAGGATCAAACCTAGAGAGAACAATTTGTACACCTGCAACCTCAACCTCCTCTTTGCAAAGCATTTAATTCAACTCCAAGACAAGCAGCAGGACCCACATGACCATGACAGTCATCCCATAAAATTATTTCACCAGAAGATCACATTTTTTGACCTGAAGAAAACACCATCCTTCACAGTTCAGCCTCACACTGCTAAGAAAGGAAAGCAAAGACTCTCCACTGACATAAAAGGCCGAAACAGGAGACCTTCCAGCACACAGCATTAGAAGGCAGTGAATTCTGCTTCTGCTAAAACACAAAGAAAACCTGACCCAGCCCTTATGAGCACACTGCCCTGAGGAACCCACAGGACTTAAACAGCCTCGAGACCATTCACAGAGCACCACTGTGTGCTCACAACTCCAGTGAGATGTACCTTCCTATCAAACAGCTTTGCAATGTATGGTTTGAAGTAGTGTTCCTTTATCCCTTTTGCTTCCACTAGGAGCCCGTCGTGCAGCTCACACAGAGTGGCAATGATGCAGGGAGGACCTTCAGAGGCTTTGATCTCCGGAGTGTGGAATTCCACTGGTAAGCCTGAGAACAAGGAGAGGGGGAAGGGGGAAGACAACCAACCTTCACCTTCATTTCAAAGGAACCAAGAGAACAAAGCACATTTGATTGCAAATAATCTGTCCCCACCATACCTTTAAATGATGGATTTAGCAAATCTCTTCTGTTTGGACACAAAAGGGCATTGGCAAAAATCAGGTCCAAGCAGCACAGAAGCAAATGATAGGAATTTACTAAATCATCTCCAATCATACGGAAATTACCTTTAAGAGACAGCACATCACGTCAAGCAACACAACAGAAGTTCAGAACTGGGAATGTATACAAACCATGCAGCTGGAGCAAGCAAGCTTACCCTTAGTGTACACAAAGAGAGTCCAGCAGAAGTTGAAGAGATCCTTGACACTGCACGGCACATGCCTGTCAACAAGGAAACACGGGAGAGGTCACTCTTCACTTCCAGGAAGCTGAAGCTGTTTTACAGTAAGAATTTCACTCCATTTCCCTGCTCCTCCCCTGTCTCTCTTGATTTCACACTAAGGCACATTTTAAGCTACACGTCCTGATTTCAGCCCTCACTGGCTGACAGCCTCCCCCACCTGGCTCCACGGAGTGCTCTGCACAGCGTTGCTGACCCCATTTCCAAGCCAACGGCTGCCTCTGGCCTCTGACCCTGCCACACCACCCTGCTGGTGCCACATCTCCCACAGAACCAGGGCGACATGCAGATCAAATATCAAGAAAAATGTTTTCCCTGTTAGGGTGTTCAAGCACTGGGATAGGGAATTGCCCAGGGAGGTAGTGGAGTCACCGTTCCCGGAAGGGTTTAAGAAGCATCTGGACCTGGCACTGGAAGACATGGTTTAGGGTTTAGGGGTTACAGCAGTGACAGGTTAAGACTTGATGATCTTAGAGGTCTCTTCCAACCTTGATGATTTTATACTATGATAACCCTCCCACAGCCACAGGGGGTGAGATGACAAGGGCTACACAGAATCCAGTGACGGTTTTTCCTAAACATTTTACTAAAGCAACAGTCATTCCCCCAGAACACACAATTACAGGATGTACTACAGCTCAGCTGCTGAATCCTGTCTGGAGTAAAGATTATCCAAGCCCATGGAGCTAGAAGACCAGGGAAGATATTACTCAGAACAGACCACAGAGAAGCCAAAGCTGCAGCTATGCTAACCAACGCTGCTCTGAGAAAGGAATATGAAGAGACGACCCAACAAAACTTCTCCCACCACACTCTACCTGTAGCCGTGGAGCTATGCTGGAGCATTTTACCAGAACCATTATCCCCACTTACATCCAGAGGACTCACATGGGCTGACTGAACACCTCACAGAGTCTCAGCTTGGCTCCCTCATCCCCAAGGTCACTACAAAGCTGTCACAGCGACAGCCACACAGTCAGCAGGGAACTTGGCCAAGCTCCTGTCATTAAGGCACAGGTTCCACGTTTGTCTGGAAGATGACACCACCATTTCCCAAATTTGTCATACAATTGAGCAGATCAGGTGTAACTGCCTCCCATGGGGTGTCACCACTCACCTGGCTAACCCCACTGATGTGGAGGTCACAGCAGAGCTAATGCTGTCCCACATGGAGGGGCCACGTCATCATACCAACCACCTGCCAGGGCTGTGCCAAGACAAAACACCCCTGGGCTCCTTCAGTTG